GATACATGAAGCTCTTGTATAGCATATTTTGGATTCTGAACTGTTCTTAAAGTTTTTTAAACAAAACAAACCTCCAGCTACAGCTTAAACTAATTTAGTTGATAACCAAAAAGTAGTTTACTGTTTTAGTTTTTGATACGTCACGGCTTTATTGTAAATAGAACAGAAATAATACATGATTTGAGAAGGTATTGATTAACATTGTTTTACCCTACACAGATCTGTCTTTAAGATACTATTTTTACTTTGTCTGTAAGTGATGATGTAGAGTTAGTTGCAATCATCATTTTCTCATTTTTATGGATAAAAATAACTTTTGCAAAAGAATATTCTTTTCCACTGACTCGTCACCGACAGAACTGTTACTTGTTTCAGAATACTTAATGGGCCCGGCATGGCCAGGTGGTTAAGGCACTCGACTCGCAATCTGAGGGTCGCGGGTTCGAATCCCTCTCACACCAAACATGCTCGCCCTTTCAGCCGTGGGGGCGTTATAATGTGACGGTCAATCCCACTATTCGTTGGTAAAAGAGTAGTCCAAGAGTTGGCGGTGGGTGGTGATGACTAGCTGCCTTCCCTCTAGTCTTACACTGCTAAATTAGGGACGGCTAGCGCAGATAGCCCTCGTGTAGCTTTACGCGAAATTCAAAAACAAACAAACAAACAGAATACTTAATACTAAATATTTCGAACCAAATAGTTGCTATTTCTGTTCAAGTAACAAACACACAAATATATCCTGAAAACTAAGGTCGTAAAAAAGTATGGATGAAAATACTTGTATGATTTATTGCTAACCATTAATGAGGATGTGCTTGTAAAAGTTGAAGTTGGGACCACTTGGGGAAGAGTGATCATTGCATAATTAGGTTTGATATTTTGCTTAATATTGAGATAAAAAGAAGTGAAATATGAGTTCCTAATTTTCAAAAAGGCAATTATGAAACCTTGATTTATCATCAATTAATTGAAATAATGACTTAAATATGGGACTTTTATTAATAAATTGTTATTAATTCAAGATAGGCATGTTCATAAAACGATGAAAATGATATCAAGCATAATTTTCTTACTAAAGACATGGAGTCGAAAAATCAGTTTAAATTGACAGGCTTACAGAACTGTAGGAAAGCTAAGTTAAAAGTAAGCAAAATGTTAAATAGAGATTGGTCTTTTAAAGGTTTTGTTGAAGGTTATGAGATAGCTGAACTTTTAAAGTTTTTTTATTTCTTTTCTGGTTTTACAAGAGAATATATTAGCAGTATTCCTGGCTCTGAGCATTCAATGTCAAATATTAGAATTGATCTGAATCTTGTAGATATTAATACCTTGGTGGTAAGTAGAAAGATTGAGAGATATAAAATAGACACACACGTGGTCTTACTGTACTTACATTTTTAAAAGCTTTTGTTAAGGTGGCTCGCGAAAGATTAGCTAAGAGAATCACATCGGTAGGAATTATAGAATGACAAGTTAATTAGGTTGTAGGTTGGTTTGATAGAAGAAAGTAAAACGTTGTTATTAATGGAGTCCAATCAAACTGAATCATTGTTCCTAGTGGAGTACTTCAGGGATGAATGTTTGGACCTTTTATTTTTCCTATTTACGTATGTTAATGCTATTTATTGTGACATGATTAGTAAATTAGTAAAGTTGGTTGATAACATTAAACTCTTGGGCAATTCTAACTGTACTGAGGATGTGGATGTATTACAGAATGTCTTGGGTCAGTTGGTACGTTGGAGAAATATTTAGCAAATGACCTTTAATTATATCAAATATGAGATAATGGATTTTGATTATCATAATTTGGGTCAGACGTTTAAAATGATATAAAACCACTGCATAGCATGACTGAAGAAAAGGATATTGGCATAGTGGTGGATAAGTTACTGAAACTGGTAGAATTTAGTGTGTATTTGCAGACTTATTAATTACAAGTCAAAAGAGGTAATAATTCTGTCTTTATATGTATCACAAGTTAGGCCTCAGTTAGAATACCGTGTACAGTTTTTGTCTGCTTATCTAAGAAAGGATATTGACTTACTGGAGAGCGTTCAGAGGAGGGTTACTGGGATGATTCAAATTATGAAAGGGTTATTTTATAGGGTTAGACTAAGATATCTTAACATTTTCTCTTAAGAAAAGAAGAATAAGAGATGATATTTTTTTTAGTTTATAAAATTATCCAGAGGATAAATAGGATAAAGACCTATAATGTATTTGTTTTTTTAATATAATAAGACGAGAGGACACAAGTTTAAGAATTTAAAAAGACAGGTTAGGTTCCAGTTATTTTTCTGACAGGATTATTGGTTTATGGCAATTGTGAAGGACAGGCACTTAACTGAAGAATCAAAGGTTTCCTGAAATATGTAGGGCGGACTTTGTTTATTTTACCCACAATGGTTTTTGTTGTCCATGTATTATATCTGTCTGCTCATATTGCATGAAAGTCCTTCAGGTATATATAACACAAGAGATAGCCCTGCACTGCTAAATAGGTTGAAAATAGTTTTTGATCGCTCTCAATTTAGGACGAAAACAAGCAAGCAAAGAACAACAACAACAACAAAAAAATCATGGACATGTTGGTTTAAATGTTTTATTACCCGTCACCTCATGCACATGTCGGTTTAAATGTTTTATTACCCGTCACATCATCCACATGTCGGTTTAAATGTTTTATTACCTGTCACCTCATGCACATGTCTGTTTAAATGTTTTATTACCTGTCATCTCATGCACATGTCGGTTTAAATGTTTTATTACCTGTCATCTCATGCACATGTCGGTTTAAATGTTTTATTACCTGTCATCTCATGCACATGTCGGTTTAAATGTTTTATTACCCGACAACTCATGCACATGTCGGTTTAAATGTTTTATTTATCCGTCACCTCATGCACATGTCGGTTTAAATGTTTTATTACCTGTCACCTCCTTTATGTTTTCAAAGAGCTACCCAGTGAATCAGCGGTAAACTAAAGTCGCGGTTCGATCCTTACTTTAGGCACTGTATAGATAGTTCATTGTGTAGCTTTGCGTTTAACAACAAACAATCTTCTCAAAGTATTATTTTTCTTTGAAATACAGATTAGTGTTTGTGAACGTGCGTCAACACCTGTTTGTGGCATGTTGAGATATTTTTAGACAACCTATTAATGAACCCACATGGTCACATCCACTATCGTGTTTTCTTTTTGTGCACAATTAGAAACAGAAAAAAAACGACCCTGTCGTATCTTATCCGGTAATATTGTTTATCCGGCACGCCCATTTTGTGATATCGGGTTTATTAAAATGATCCGGCGATATCTATTAAGAAAGTGGGCTCATTCAACCGTGTAAAGTTCTATGTACTAAAGGGCCCATTCGCACTTTGTAAAATCTAGTCGAAGTTTGGATTCATAAGCTGAAAAAAGTCCACAGATGTAAGATGTTTACGAAAGCTGGAATTTCAGACCAGCGGAGTGATACTATATGTTCTTACACCGAAAAGTGGTTATAACTAATCGTTTTCATAAAATCCAGTTTTCCTAAGTGGTAATTTAGTAATTTTTGCCCAACGTAATTCGTCATAACCATAAAGTCATACTTTTTTTATATAACTTAAATAATTAAGGCACTTTGTAGATGCAAGGACGTATTTCAATACTTTTAATAACTTAGAACAAACATTAGATAATGACACATCAAATTTTTCATAGGTAAATTTCAAACTTGCTGAGCGAGCTAGTGAAGAAAAGAGATATTGTTACTATCATCACTAGATCAATGCTGAGTGATTTTCTTGTTGATGAGAAATCATTAATTTCACGTCAAGGCAGAGCTTTTCTTGTTCTTTGGACCCGCCTTGCTTGGACCGAGGCTTGATGGAGCCTGGTTAAAACAATATATCGAATATTAGCATATGAGAAACTACATTACAGCTCTATCTCCTGCTCAAGTCCTCCAATGAAACAGCGGTAAATTTACGGAGTTTAAACGCTAAAATCTCGGTTTCGATTCTCCGTGGTGGACACAGCAGATAGCCCAAGGGGGCTTTGCTCTAAAACAAACAAACGAACTCCTACTTAATGTAAATAGATTTAGACGGAGAACTAGCAGACAAGAACCAGCTAAAGTGGAGAAGAGACACGTATATATATAATATAAATAGCTTAAAGTTTGTTGTTAATTGCCAAGTTGAGCAACCTGGTGAAAGGTTGAGGAAAAGATGTTCGACAAATTCAGCACAAGCGAAAACCATGGTAGTCTAAGTAGATACATTGCATTGTATTTTCTTATATACTCAAAATATCCAGAACTATTCTGTGTCTAAATACACTAGTATTTAATCGTTTTTTTTTATATTTGATCTGAAAAGAAAGATAGAATGCCTCTTTTATGCTATATTATGTTCTTGTCGAAGCTCTGTTCCATTTCAAAACGAATGTTTCGTATTCACAGTAGTTTCTTCGGTTCCATCATTGAAACACCATTATCATAAATCTTAAACAAATAAACAGAAATTAGTGTAAAAGACTGAAAAAAAAGAAGAGTAAAGGATTCAATAGAAAAAAAAGTTTCTGTTAAAACTTCTACAAGTTTTAACTCACTGTTGTTTTTCGCAATGCAAATCAACCAACAAAAGGCTATTTTTAACACGACAACTCTTCTAAGTCCTAACTAAAATCTTTTTTTGATAATTAACTCACTTTTTGCCCTGTTTATAAACAAATATTTAATTAACATGCCTTTCTGCAAATTTTGCAGATTATTTGTTTTGCGCTGAGTGAAAATAGTGTTACCTGCGTCACAAATACGTCATAATATACAGGATAATTTTTTTCGTAACATTTTAGGTTGAAAATTTGACACAGAGGAGTATAGGATTCATTGGGTTCATTGATCGTTTTATTTTTTAATGACCACTAGATGGCGGCACCATGAGTTCAGTATCTAACGAAACTACTCCTAACCACACTTGCCGAGCAGTCGTTTGGCTTCGTGTATTTGAACGTTAGATTCTACTTCTAATCAGAAGGTTGTGACACACTAGGAGAATTGTGTCTTTCCCCTGCTTTCACTAATGTAAGTATTAAATCGGATATTTATTTAAGCAAAGTGGCTTATTTCAGATTGTAAAAAAAAAAGGTCATCGCACTGTTTTCAAAATATTTTTTATGATAATCTGACATATTTATATACTGTAGCACTGAATACATCCTTCAGTGTTAAAATTAGTCATGGTTATCTATCTATCTATCTATAGGTACCCAACTTATGAAACAGTGTATTCTAATCTTTATTAGTAGGAGCGTAAGAAAAGTATATTTAAATAGCTATAATGAGTACCAGGCTTGTTTTTCGTTTTTCGCTTGCTCTGATAGAAGTTAGTGTAAAAGGTTTATCCATCTATCTACCTCACGAGGTGATTTTGCCGCATAAATATTTACGTTTCATTTAAAATGTATGAACTAAACATGTTTTGTAGGAGAATTAAACCATATTTAGTGTTAGAGATTTAAACTATACTTGGTATAGGATATTTAAAACTAACTTGGTGTAAAAGATTTAGACCTTACTTGGTGTAGGAGGTTGAAAACTTACTCGGTGTAGGAGATTTAAACCTTGTTTGGCTAACGTTCCCATTATGTTTTACTTTTGAATTTATATTGCATAAAATGGTTTTCTCCTCGCTCATAAAACACTGCGCGTTTTAAACTTGTTCGTCCTTCTCTGGCTTTAAAATTCTTTTGAATATCTATATGAATAGGTTTGTGATAATGTTCACAACTGTATTTCAGATACAGAGATAAGGCCAAAAACATTGTCCACAGAAAGCCACTAAAGAAGCGAATGATTAGGTAATGTGACATTTCTTTCTGCCCGTTTCTGATTTATTCGAATTACGAGAACTTAATTATTTAAAATCTATTAACTTTTTTTATAATCAATGTTTTAAGCGGCACAAATAATTCACAGCAGAACTTCGGTTAGTTTATACATCTGTATCAAAATAAGTATGTGTTTTTACTGTTAAACTGCATAAACCAAATAGTTAAGCGGCAGGGAATAAAAGACAAGCTGCTCTCACACCTGCGTCTAGTGATCTGCACAGCTGCCACCTATAACGTTCATGTCAGTGTACACATCTCGAAGTTTTTATTATTGTTTTTATAGACAATAACAAATAATAAATGCGATAACCCTTGTCTACTGTTAATTGGGTTGAACATGAACATTCTGGACTCTATTGTTTGACTGAAGATTTCAACTAAAATTCCTAATGAAATATATTCACTTTAAACCGTACATGCATGTATACGTGCTCCACACTCTGGATGTTTATATGGAACCTCTGGAAGGTATGGATGTACCATCATATGTACGGTTACTTGTGGCCTCTCTGAAATAGCCCTATAGACGTAAACAATTTATTTATAGTTTTAATGAGCTTGGCCAATTTCCACAGTCCCATCACAATAGCCCCTCATTAGATCAGCGGTAAGTCTGATGGACCATAACGGTAAAATCCGGGTTTCGATACCCGTGATGGACACAGCACAGATAGTCCATTGTATTGTTTTAAGTTTAACAAGACACATGCAAGCTCATCACAACTTTTGTCTGAAATTATGATAATTTTGTCATTTTCTATAATTTTCCAAACTTTAATTTTGGGGTAGATATTTCTAAGTTCTCACTTTTTATTTCAATTACAACTCAGAATACGAAGTAACACCTATGACTTCTTATAAATCAGCCCCTCAGTAGCACAGCGGTATGGCTGCGGATTTACAACGCTAAAAACCGGGTTTCGATATCCGTGGTGGGCAGAGCACAGAAAGCTCATTGTGTAGCTTTGCGCTTAATTACAAATAAACAAACAAAACTTACAAATCAACTTTCAAAACCGCAAGTTATTACTCCATAAAGTTGCAGCTTAGGCCTCGCCAGGCATTTAAAAAACTAGTAAGCTTTAGCGTGTCTGTAATTAATACTTTGTGACTTATATTTATTAATACAGTCTGTTTATTACTCCTTAGAAATCTTTTGAGACACTCAGATATGGAAGATATTTTGTAATAGTCTATAAAATAATGTCTTATGAAGAATTACAAATTATTACTTGAAACACATTGGGTATATAAAACACATAAAGAGTCTGGTGGCATCAGTGGTCGGAACATCAGTTTTGACATAATATATCCATGAATATTGGGCACGTGTTACAGTAAAATAGGAGTATGTCCCTTTATTTAAACCTTATCCTATTATCTAGCGTAAACAATAAACTGTAAAGTATTATCTACGTACACAGTAATCTGTATAGTATTATCTAACGTACACAGTAATCTGTATAGTATTATCTAACGTACGCAGTAAACTGTATAGTATTATATATATAACACAGTAAACTGTATAATCTTATCTAATGTACGCAGTAAACTGTACTCCAAATAACACTAACTTGTTAATGCTTTTTTAACTCTGTAACCCTAAATGGTAGAGATCTCAACAATAATAACAGTTAAAATGTATAAAATCCAATGCCATATGACTAGTGTTATTTGTAGCATAGTTCAATAAGTATTTAAACCATCAGGATTTGAATGAACATCTTCACCGTTGACTGACGAAATGAATGTTAGTCCTAAGGTCTAAAATTCAGGGATTCAGGGTTCAGGTTTTGCAACTCAGATGTGCAGGTTTACAATCTATCCTCAAGGTTTTACGTACTGAGGAGCCGAGTAACAAATCCTTTGCTGAATAATGCAGTTAACCTATTACTCGCCAATCTTTCACCATTTTTCAAAAACAAATTATTTTATTACCTACCCTGATTTATTAAAGAAACACTTTATTTTACGTGTTTGTTTATTTTAATAAATTGTTTTCTTGAATATATTACGCGACTTTTTTGTTACTGAAATCTCGTATTTAGGAGTTACTTCTCTAGAATCGTATGCATATTTTTTATATAATATAAAGTGTAGTCTGTAAAACTAACTTTTCATTCCTTGTGTGAGTCAGCAGCACATAAAAGTTCATGATAGATTTGATAGAAGAAATGTTATTGTATCTAAGTTTTGTCAGGTAGTTTAGGATTTATTAAAAATAATAATTTGTAATAAAACTAGGTTTGAGAACTTTAATGGACTGCAACTGTCCGTTGAAAGAAAATTAAATGATGAAGAAGTCCTCAATATAGAAGTCGAAACGTTGTCTTCTTTTCTTTCAACAGGCAGTTGCAGTCCATTAAAGTTCTCAAACCTACTACATCTACTCTACCTAAAATTCCACTGCAGAAAAAAACTTGTTCCGAAAAAGCTATATCTTAGTTTTTAATTCCACAAGGAATCGAATGATCTAAATTTTTTAATGCAGAACAATAAACTTTTAGAAATTATTCAAAGTAGACCAGAAACACTGTAGCGTTATCTACCAAACACAATAAACTGTATTTATCCAGTCTCTGAGGGAGTTTCAAGAATTAGAACAGTATACACAGACAGTATTCCAACCACACTATATTTGTCATATCAGTTGCCGCCTACAAGTTTCGATACAAAAACAAAGTAATGGTCGGAACACTATATATATATATATATATACATAAGTCATGTGATACAACAAAAATTGTTATGGTGTGATCGTGTCATCAACAATGGATATGACTAATATGGAGTGGTTGGAATATTATTAGCATACACTATTCTAATTCTTGAGAACCCTTAATGAACTAGGTAAAGAATGTAGTGTTTAAAAATGAAATAGGCTTAATACTTAAGTTTTATGATAAATATATCTGGAATCTAACATAGAGAGTAAAAAGGATTGCGTTATCCGATGTAGACAGTAAACCGTATAGCATTATACAAAATGACAATCAACCGTTTAATATTATCTAACATACACAATAAACTGACCAGTACTATTTAATGTATATAATCAAATGTAATATGTATTATCTAAGGTAGATAACAATGTGGTTTTTATTCTTAACTAAAATAAACTTAATATTATTAAGCCACTATGGTAGAAATCCATATGTTAGTTCAACTGCAGCAAGCCACTATGGTAGAAATCCATATGTTAGTTCAACTGTAACAAGCCACTATGGTAGAAATCCATATGTTAGTTCAACTGTAACAAGCCACTATGGTAGAAATCCATATGTTAGTTCAACTGCAGCAAGCCACTATGGTAGAAATCCATATGTTAGTTCAACTATAACAAGCCACTATGATAGAAATCCATATGTTAGTTCAACTGTAACAAACCACTATGGTAGAAATCCATGAGATAGTCCAATTGTAACAAGCCACAGTGTTAGAAATACATGAGTTAGTCCAACTGTAAATAACCAATGTGTTAGAAATCCATGAGTTAGTGCAGCTGTAAATAACCTCTGTGTTACCGTGGGTTAGTCAAAATTTAAATAAACACTGTGTTAATAAACTTGTAACAAACCACTGTGATAGAAATTTCAGAGTTAGTTCGATTGTAACAAGCTACTAGGTTAGAAAACCATGAGTTATATCAACTGTAACAAACTACTGTGATAGAAATCGTTCAGTTAGACCAACTGTAAATGCTCAGTATTTTATATATCTATGAGTTAGTCCAACTGGAATAAGCCATTGTGTGTTAGAAATTTATGAGCTATTTTAACGGTAACAAGCCAGTGTAATAGAAATTCATAAGTTAGTCCAACTGTAATTAGCCACATGTGGAAATACATGTGTTATTCCTACTGTAAATAGCAACTGTGTTAGAAATCTGAGTTGGTCCAACTTTGCTAGAAATCCATGAGTTAGTCCAATTGCAAAAAGCCAATAAGTTAGAAATCCATCAGTTAGTCCAGCTGTAAATAAAAACTACAATTACAATCCATGAGTCATTCACACGTGGAATAGCACAGTGGATTCTTACAGTTCGACTATCTTATGGTCTACTAACACAATGTTTATTCACAGTTTTAGTAACTCGTGGGTTTCTAACTCAGTGACTTGAACAGTTGCACTAACTCGTAGATGTCTGACACAGTGGCTATTTACTGTTTGTTAGAAATCTATTAGTTAGCG